GCAGTAGGAGGGCCCACAATGAGTTTGAGTCTTGATGTGTTTTTTTTTTTAAGCCGCTTTATTGTGTTTCTCAAATACTGAGTTGTTAGGTTTGGTTTTGTTTTTTTTACAAATAACGGGTGTGTGGCAGCACTGCATTGAGGGAGTCGGCGCCATTTTGCCATCAGCATTTCCTAACTTGGTGTGTCTCACATTTGAGTAACTTTTTTGCAGTATTTAAAATGTTTCCCCATTATTATTTTGATTTGAGATTGGTGATCTTTTGTTTGACTTTTAAAATTGTTTTGGGAGGGCATGAATTACATCCACCCAAGATTACTTTTCAATTTAGTTGAAAATTTAATGTGTATGTCGCCTGCCCCACCAACTGGCTTTTCTCCTGAGTTTCTCCCTTTTCTTTGGCCTCCGTATTCCGTGAGACATGATAATAGTTGTTAACAGTTACAGCTTGCTTGACTCCACAATCAACCCTCTTGCATCAGCAGTCAGGAAATCAAAAGACAAATTGTATTGAGAAAATTTACTGTCAAGGACCTCTCCAGAGTACTGAGAAGCAGTGATGTTAGTCTAGAGACTCAAGTGTGCCTGATACAGTCCATGGACTTGCTGTGCATCAGAGTGCTGAATAATGACTAAGAATGGCAGAAGAGGAATTGCCTTTGAGCTGTGGTGCTGGAGAAGAGTCTTGAACATACCATAGACTGCCAAGAAAACAAATAGGTCTGTCTTGGAGAAGGTAAAACCAAGTTTCTCCTTGGAGACGGTCATTGTGCTTAGAAGGGTGGAGGGACAGTGCAGGAGAGGAAGACTCTGGATGGAATGGATTGATAACAGTAACTGGGACAATGAGGGTAGGTGTGTGGAAGTCAGGAAGATTGGCTTAGGACATGGCTGGCTTCAGAGCTGTTGTACTATGAGTTGCAGGCAACTCAGTGGCACCTTACAGCCGTCCTACAATGGCATATAAGCATTCGTGTTAAAGGAAGTCAGTTGGTGCCTCACATTTCAGTTATTTTAAGAAATGGTATAACAAATTTCACTGTTATTTTAAGACATTGGATAACATGTTATTTTAGATAATGTGAAGCATTTTTTAAGAGAAATATGTTGGGTTTTTTGTTTTGTTTTGTTTTGTTTTGTTTTTAGTTTTGACACAGGCTTTTGCACTTGCAACATTGTGTGAACATAACTTTTTTATGCACAGGGAAACCACCTACATGCCTGTGATTTGTCTCACTGCAGGAGTGTAGAATACCACAAACTATGCTTGTACTTTTCAGCATTCAGGTTTTGTACAGAGGTGTGCAATGGTACATGATATATCCTATAAATGCCCAGAAATGAATAAATGCTAAGCTGGCTGAGTCTTATTAGCGTTGTTTTTCTGGTTTCTTTCCAGAATGAGGGCAAGTGGACTCTTAGCCCTTATCAAGCATGTGGTGGTTTTATCTTTCCCTTAAGTTAAGCTTGTGTATTGCTAACATTTCTCCATCAGTCTTTGTCATTCTTTATTTTTCTCTGTATTAGGGTTGTTTATGTTGTTAGGTGCCTGGAGTCAAGTACGACTCATAGATCCCTGTGAACACCTGATCTGAACTCTGCCCTGTGATCAGTGCAAGTGCTGTACCATCCTCAACATGTCTCATAGCTGCTTCCTTCCATCTTCAGTAATTTCTCTGGCTAGCCACCACTGTCATCTGTATAGCTTTCCATTAGTAAGTTTCCTGTGCCCATAAATTAATGTCTCAGGGTTAGTTTTCAATATATCTGCACACATGAACTTTGAAAAGGATTTTGTCTCTAGGGAACTAGCCCTAACGGATGGTAAGAAGGGTTGAAGTTAGAGAAAAAGTAATAGATTTAGTATTGTGATTAGATTCCCTGGGTAACAAAAGTGATTAAATGCTGGGTGCTTCATTGAAAGATTGGTATCAACACATCCAGAGGTGCCTGGAGAAAAAAAGACTTGGCAGTCTGCTTCAAAGATTACCAGTCAAAAATCAGTATGACAATAATTGTGTCAGTCTATCTCATTGAGGGTCTTCTTTCTTTTGTTGACCTTTCCAAACGAGATGTCCCTTTCTAAGGAATGATCCTTCCTCACAGCATGCCAGGATCTATCTTAAACTATATACAAAGAAGGCTTGGTAATAAGAATATTACTTAAGGGTAGAGGGTGGCAGGGTGAAGGCAGTGGGAAAGCTCTGGTGTGAAAAACAATGTTTACAGACTTTGTAAATAAACCAGTATAAAATAAATATTAAGAAAGTATTAACTCAAGTTTTATGCATCAGCAGGTAAAGCCAAAACAAAAATTCAAATTACTACCAACTTATGCAGTCTGAGATTGATTAAACATGCAGTTAACATGTATTACTATCTGCTAAATTGAAGCAAATGCTGGAAACAATTGTTAGAAAACAGCCTTGCTAATTGACATGAGGCTGTAGATTGCTGAGAATTTTCTATGAACAGCAGCTTACTCATTGGATTTTAGCTACTTTGCCTGACTTTCCCCCTCTTACCTTATTGGCATCAGCCTTAACTCATCTTACTTTTCTCTGCTTGACTTACTAGTTTTGTAGTTAATAGTAGCATTTTAGATGACCGCTCACAGACTTTAAACCCCACCACCAGTCACCAAAGTGTGGTGTGGAATGTGGTCTCAGTGGCCTCCACTCTCCAACTGATGTATATGTCCCTTGATTTTGGTGAGGGTTTCACAACTTTGTGCAGCCAGTATATTGCTAAAATACTTGAGCCATACTCTCTGAAGGGAGAAACTCTATGGTATGTGAATGTAAAGCCAGTCATGTTCAGCTGTGGAGGATTTTATACCAAATTTAGATTAATTTGTTTTTATTTTATTGCAATTTTAAGGAATGTTTAGAAAAAAATTGAATTTTCATTCATTTATTGTCACATATTTTCCTGATGTTAATAGTTTCTGTTACCCTGCTGCCATCAGACCAGCCAAAGCTACAAATTTTTAAAAAGTACTTTTACAGTCTGAGATAGATCGAACATGCAATCAAGATGCATTGATAATAATGGGTGACTGGAATGCAAAAGTTGGGAAAAGAGAAGAAGAATCAGTAGTCGGAAAACATGGGCTTGGTGACAGGAATGAAGCTGGAGATAGAATGATTGAATTTTGTAAAATCAATGACTTATTCA